CTCTCACCTGTATAAGGGAAGAGACGTAGCCACTTTGTGTGCATGGCAGCTCTCCATGGCAAACAGAGCGTCCCTGTCACTCCAACCCTCCTTGGACCATTCTCCAGGGAATGTTAATTGCTCTGTAGGTTTTTAGTAGCTCAGTGACTTAAGTATGAGTAGGAGTTCAATTCCCCACCGTGCATCCCATGAAAAGAGCCATCCTGTGTAACCTTGGGCATGGAGAAGGGTTAAACCGCTTCCCAGGACTCTCTACCCAGAAAACCCTGGCGAGAGTCACCATAAATCAGAATTGACTTGATGGCACATAATTATTATGACAAGGCTTTTAGTGTCAACAATAAAGCAATATCTAGTGATACTATTTCTGGTAGCCAGTTTTATTCACTGTTTCGAACATCTATTACAAATGTTTAATTCATTCAAAAAATTCCATCACACTCCTTAGTTGAAAACTGTCAAGGCAGGCAATGTTTTTTCAACATGTGGTATGTCGATACAAAATTTAAAATAGAATTTTGAAATGGCGTCAAAGTCTCTGAGGCAGGTCTCTTAAGCTGGGTTTTATTTGGTTATGTTTCTGTTGAAATAAATGGCCAGAATCCGATTTTTATTTCTGCTGACGTAAGGGTAGTGATGTGAATTGCGGTGGCAGACTCCCACTATCTAAGGAGCTCCTGCTTGTATTCCTCAAGGCGCCCTAGCCGTGCGACTTGGCACTTGACATAGAATACAAGCGACGACTATTTAACAGCTCGCGATTTGCCACTGGAATTTATGCCACCGTGCCTAGGACAGGGTAAGCAATCCATAGGATTCTAGCCAGTGTGTTTTATTTTTATTCGTTTTTGTGGAAGGAAAGCATCGTGACTACTGAGCTCCAGATGAGTATTGTTTCCAGATGAGTACATCCTCTCATTTTTGCAACAGCTAAGCATAGCTAAGGTTCAGACATACTGAGAAATATATGAATTATATTCAGTTTAAGAGTCCTCGCTGCAATTTTTAAAAAGTGTATCCAGGCTTATAGTGTGGAGAGTTAGACCTGCCACCACTTATTTTGCAGAACAAGGCAGATGCATCCAGCATAGGTTTTTGGGTCTCTGGGCTGAATACATAAGGTCGAGCTAAGGTTGACTTACCATGTGCATCAGTCCATTCTGTATGCTAGTTTCCTCCAAATTGGTACCCTTCAGATGTACAGGGCTACATCCCAAGTGCCAATACCCTTCAGCTTCTGCCAGAAGCATCTGCCTTGTTCTGCATAAAAATGGGTGCGGACAGACCTGCACAGACCCCAGATTTGTTCTTTTTAAAGTCCAGAGCTTTATAACTATGCATAATTATGCTTTGCTAAAGACACAATCTCAACATTCTGTGTCCAAGAGAAATGCTCTGAGTGAAACACTTGCACAAGCAATACAATACAGTACAATGCAACACAATATAATTAAAAAGGAGGAGGATTTGGTTCTAATTCAAGGTGCTTAACTGTAGGTGTGGGAAAAGTATGTTATGAAACATCCTTTGGCTTTCTGAAGCTCCATGAGGAGAAAATCTGAACATCTTGAAGCAGAATTTGGATTAAAAAGCGTTGACTCTTTATAATACAGACACCAATACTTATGGGAGAAGTACAACTCGACCTAGGAGCATAGGATTAAGCATACTTTATACAGCAGTAATCAGAAAGCGTTTAGAAAAGGGACATAAATTTCTCTGACAGGGCAATTTTGTGTGAGAAAGGAGCGCAATCACTGCTGCTAACCGTGTGCTGTGTGCAATCCTGCATGATGCATTGTCAGTGATAGCATCAAAACTGCCTCACACCTGGGAAGAGAAACACTCCCTGCCTTCTCTTATAGGCTCTCGAAAGGGACGGGATGTTGCACAATTCCTTTCCATGGAGCAATTATTTACAGCCAGTGCAGTTAAATAAACAGAGGGATGGATTAAGAAAGAACCAAGTTTGAATCCAGCTGTGTCCGTCTCCCCTTTTCAGGGCTGCCATTGAAGACTGGCAAATTTGAGGACCTGGCGAAGCCCACCGTTCCTCATGGAGCCCATTGCCAAACCCTGCACGTGGCCCATGTTGATCTTATACATGTGTTTTCATTTATTAGTTACATTCGTGGCCCTCTTTCTTCCAGCAAACTCCAGCTAGCTGCAAATATTTTGAATGATTTTAAAACTTGAATTTAAAAAAATCTTAAAATCTGTTGAATTTTTTTATTTTAAAGATAAAGTCTGTCCAAAGATTTGGCTCATTTGCAGTGCCCTATCTCACAGGATTATTTTGAGGGTTAGAAAAGCCACAACATAACCCTGTCTGAGAACTGCAGCAAATGTAGAATGCGGTTACACCTGGAAAACAACTGTGTTTGAATTGGGCTTTTCATGTTTGAAATCAATTTTTCTTTAAAGGTGAGTTTAAAAGTCACAACGCACATGTCAGCACAGATCTTTTGCCCAGGAAGTGTTTGTTTTGATTGGAAAGTGAGGTACAGTATTTTACTTGGCTGCAAGATGGTAGTTTATTTTAAATCATGGGTGAAACTGATTTATTTTGAAACATGTTGGCATACTTGAACACCACTAGTAGTGTAAATTATGTCTATGGGGTTTGTCACTCACTGGTATGCCTTCCTTGCTCCCACTCCCTCTCCCCCCTTCTGTGTGTGTGCATTCATGTGTGTGAGCTCTCTCTCTGTGTGTTTCTCTGTGCATGTGTTGAGCTGCATGGAAACCTCTCTTTTAATCCCCCCCCCGGTCATTCTCTGCTAGTGCCATGCCAGATTGCAGGATATAAACAAAAATTAATTTATGAAAAATAACACCATACCAGCATGAGCTAGTGTGAGAGGCAGCCAGTGTGAGGGGGGCGTGTCCCCCCCCCCCGGGTCATTCTCTGCTACTGCCATGCCAGATTGCAGGATACAAACAAAAAATAAAATTTATGAAAAATAACACCATACCAGATTGAGCTAGTGGCTGTGAGAGGCAGCCAGTGTGAGGGGGCCGTGGGTGCAGGACAGAGCCTCAAATGCAATGATTCTAAAAGTCCACATTGCCCCCTTAAATTTAGAAATTACAGTTTAAAATGGATTAAAAGTTTCCCCAAGAGGACGCACAACAACCCAAACCCCATGTGACTAAAATGTGCTTTTTAAGCCAAATTCAAAAGTCCTGCTCTATCACCAGTTTGTTTTATTAATGTAACCATGCCCCGTAATCAACAAATTACAGTCTTATCTGGCTGGTAGCAGCTCCTGGTCATTTCTGTACCTGCTCTACCGAGGGACATTATCTCTTTGGGAACACAAAGTATTTCTAACATCAGCAACCCAATGCTGACACCCTGCAACGTAAAGAGAGTCTTGAAATTTTAGATTTTTGGACTTCTGCTCCCCAAACAACATGATAATGGGATTCCAGGGCCGTTATCCAAAAAATGCAGCTTGTTCAAACTCCAAGTCTTTGGAAGTGGTCATTAGGAAATACACAATGGGATGGGATTCCAGGGCCGTTATCCAAAAAATGCAGCTTGTTCAAACTCCAAGTCTGGAAGCGGTCATTAGGAAATACAGTACAATACTGTAATTTGAATTGAATGGACTGAGGATTGCTCTGCAGGTTAAGTTCATACAGGAATCAAGGTGTTAGGTTGCTGATAATTTAACAATGTGCGGATGGGCGGGTGCACAGCGTTTTCACAGAAGAAATGTGCAATTTTCTTAAACACAAAAGTGTCCTGGCGTTGGGAGCGAAACCACCTCTCTTTCCATTCATTGCTGAGACTTTTGGAAAAAGGGTGAGGTAGAACTGGAGAGGGAGTAGAATCAAGGTTCCAATTCAATCAACAAAACAGATTCCCGGCTTTATATTTGAATGAGACTTCAGTTTTTTTTAAAAAAGCAAAATCAACATGTTTTGTTGCATCAGACATTTCAGCCTTTCCATAAACCACCCTGGGCATTATGATTTGTAGGGTGGAGTTTTAGGGTCCCTGGGTTTTCCTCCTTGCCACTTTCCGTAAACTGCAATTCCCAAGATTCTTTGTGGGAAGCCATGACAGTTAAACTGTTATTTTTAAAAAAATCTAATGAAAGTCAGCACTGGGAAAAAGTTCACAGAGCAGTGGCGCTTTGCAGTGTTCCCACAGGGTAACTGATCATCCTTTTCTACAGGGGAATGGCTTTTGTTAGCTGATAGACCCTTGCATGTTAAATATAATGTACTGGAGGAATAAGGTTGCCAGGCCTTGCATGGGTCAACCCAGAAATGCAGGAGTTGGATGCTCAAAGATGATGGGGGGGGAGGAATAAATAGATGCAGATTGGGGGATAGGACTGAGGCCTAGTCGGGGCTGGAAAACCTGATATTGTAAAGCAACCCTCTGGTTACTTTGCAGGGTGATGTGCCAACCTACTTAGCTATTGTTCCCTACAGGCTGGAAAACCTGATATTGTAAAGCAACCTTCTGGTTACTTTGCAGGGTGGTGTGCCAACCTGTTTAGCTATTGTTACTGAAAGGATTTTTTTTCCCTACAAAAATTCAAGGGTTTGAGTCACAGGAGGTAGCACAGATCAACCGTCAACCTACAACTCGCCTTTAACTGTGTTACTGAAAGGATTTTTTTTCCCTACAAAAATTCAAGGGTTTGAGTCACAGGAGGTAGCACGGATCAACCGTCAACCTACAACTTGCCTTTAACTACTGTAGTTTAAAACAAAATGGCTTTTTCCTCTCCACTACCCATTTTTATCTTTGTCTTGTGGACCTGGGATTTTCTTTCTGTGGAGACCCTGTGACAGTGGCTAGCAATGCAGCAAAATTGTATGTTTTCAAATAGTGCAAAAGGAACAAAAGGAACGGCCATATTTGCTGGTGGTGTCGCAAAGGCCGACGGGACGTGTTCAAGAGGATTTGCACCGATCCACCGATGGCTAATGGGCTCAGGAATTTGAAACCCATTTCAAAATGCCTTCTAAACTTGAATCTTCCAAAGGAGTTCAACTTGCTCATTGTTGCTTCTGGTGTGTGACTGTAAAAGCAAATCCACCAGAGGTGTTATTTTTCCTTCTAACTAGGAACAATAGTTTTCCTTTATTAGACAGTAAGTTGTCTGAATCCTAAAATGCATTTTTCCCTTATTCCATAAGGCCCAGAAGCATGTTTATTATTTGGCAATGTGTATTTTAATTAATTGAGGGGTGTTGTTTTCAAATTCAGAAGGTTGAGAGGAAAAGAAACTTAGGCTATGGAATAACTCTGGAAATCCCAGAAGCCTTCACCACCACCTCTGCTGGCCAGGATTTCTGGGAGTTGAAGGCCAAGAACATCTGGAGAGCCACAGTTCGACACCACATAACTCTTTGGAAAAAATGTGATCTTCTGCACACTTTCTACGCTGTTTCTGGGGGTAAATCCTGTGCCATTCATTGTGACTTACTTGTATAGACACGTAGGACTTCAGTCACTTTGAAATCAATGCCACTTAGGATCAAGAAACATTATGCAATTACTCTGTCTTGTTTTAAAATCTTTCTTAATTGTTCCCTCTGCCTTAAATGATTTTCTGCGGTCGCCAAAAAGTGTCGTGAAAACACAAGCGTTACAAATTGTATAATTAAAGCTTTACTTCTTGGAGGCACCAACAATCATTATTAGCTTGTCCCATTGACCTCACCGAGAATCAAGAGTGACTCATTTCTTGTGACTCCCAACTTAATTATGATTTTTTTAAAAGTCCAAACAGACCAAAGGTTGACCCCAAAAAAGGTGTTTAATGATTGTCATGCCTTTATTTTTTCACACAGGCCAGCATTTAGAAAACCAAGCCTAAGCCTATGCAGCAGCTTCTGACGGCCATGCACCAGTAGGATCGTGTGCGCTTTCAAACAAAGGCTTGGACGTCGTGCAGAAATGTTTCCTTCGCCTGGAGATGCGATACGAACTAGAGCCAATGGGGTCGTGCCCCACTGCAGCCAGGCATCGGATTGCAGACTCAATGGGCACAGTGGCCTCCTATGTAGAAGCACCAGTAAGGCCTTGGTCACCGGAGGCGGTGGCTATTTTGGATATCATCTGGGCTGTGCTCTCGCCAGTCAAGGAGTTAGGGTTATTTTGTTTGACAGACATAAGCCTAGATGGGAGATTCCCAACAAAGCAGTCTTCATCCAGGTAGGAACAAACTTTGTTTTTCTTGCCTTCCGGTTTTTATGTGACACTCAGCTGGCAAGTACTCTCTGGGCCGTTTTGAAACTAAAATTATTCTCAATTACCTCATAACAAAAGTTCCCTCTAAGCTGCGCAGGTGGGTGCAGGACCATGCAGTGGTGCATCAGTGCCATGGACCCGCAGCCAGTGTTGCCACCCATTGAGTTCAGGTTGTGGCCGGAACTCTGTGTGTGCAGGGTGGGTCCCCCTGCACAGCGCTCACAGAAAATTCGAGGGAACATTGTTCTTGATCACCAAAGCAAATAAAGGCAAAGGTTCCTCTTAACAATTTGTCCAGTCGTGTCTGACTCTAGGGCGCGGTGCTCATCCCCATCTCCAAGCCGTAGAGCCAGCGTTTGTCCAAAGACAATCTTCCGTGGTCACGTGGCCAGTGTGACTAGACACAGAACACCGTTACCTTCCCACCATGGTGGTACCTATTTATCTACTCGCATTTACGTGCTTTCGAACCACTAGGTTGGCAGGAGCTGGGACAAGCGACAGGAGCTCACTCCGTCGCATGGATTCGATCTTACAACTGCAACTCTTCTGACCTTGCAGCACAGAGGCTTCTGCGGTTTAACCCGCAGCACCACCACATCCCTCAAATAAAGCATCAAAGCAAATAAAGCATCCCAAATGAAATTCAAATGTTCAGATGTTAAGATAGTCAAAACCAGTGATAAAACTTAATTGTAATATATAAAAAATCAAGGAGTAAATTAAAGAAAGCCTTAATCTGGTTTTTAATATGTCATTTATGTGGATGTTAAATGGAAAGATATTACACAGACGAGATGGCGACCATTGAAAATGCTTTTCTTTACTACTTCTCTGTCACACAAATGCTGGTGAGGCAACCAGAAAAGATGTTCCAAAACTGGCCTTAGTAATTGGGCAGACATACAAGGGAGCAGCAGACTCTGTCTGGGACTCTGTTTTTTAATTTACTACCAACAATATTTTAGAGTGTGCTTGAAAAATGACTTATAGGGAACTGATGCAGCTGAGGGGGTGATCCCAGTCAGCAGCCTCCCTGCTCTGTTATGCATTTTCTGGAGTGTCTAGTAACTTAATTCCCACGTATCATATTGAAATGATCTTCGACTGAGGCTGTCAGTGCCTGGGTAACTTGACGGCAATGTTATATTATAAAAGAACTCTTTTAAGAATTAACAGATACAGATTGGACATCGAGAAGGGCATACACAGAAACCTGCCTCAAATATTTTTAAATTCCTGGACACACTATACAAGATTTGAAATTTCCAATTTCTGAGAAGAAAAAATACAGGACAAGAATTCAGAGAGAAACAGCTGAGTTAAAATATATACATATTTAAAAGCCCCTTTCGATGGACTCAATATTAGACAAGGTCTTTTCAGGCCATTATCAAATGTAAAGCACTGCAATAACTATATTGTATCTGCTGTAATTTCCAGCTGTATTTCCTTCCTAAATAAGGAAGAGCTACCTTAAAAGCCCCACTGGTGATGAATAATAATCAGGTGTCATCAAGTCAATTTTAACTTATGGTGACCGTTTTCAGGACCCTGTTTAAAAGGGGTTTCGCCTTCCCTAATTCTGGAGGCATCCTGGGACTGTGCAGCTTGCCGAAGGCCACCCAGGCTGGATGTCTTCATAAGAGGCAGAGTGGGGAACTGAACTCCCTACTTCTGGTTCTGCACTAACAACAACCTAGACTCAGGAAACAATAAATGTACGAATATTTGCCACATAGTCCCACTCTTGTGTCTGAGGAAGTGGACTTGTCCACAAAGGTAAAGGTAAAGGTTCCCCTTGACTTTTAGTCCAGTTGTGTCCGACTCTAGGGGGCGGTGCTCATCCCCGTTTCAAATCCGTAGAGCCAGCGTTTGTCCATAGACAGTTTCCGTGGTCACGTGGCCAGCGTGACTAGACATGGAACGCTGTGACACGGAGATTCATTGGTGCCATCTTTTTACCCAGATGGCACCAACTAATCTACAGACACCTTCGCATCATGGTAGTACCTATTTATCTATGCGCATTTACATGCTTTTGAACTGCTAGGTTGGCAGGAGCTGGGACAAGCGATGGGAGCTGACTCTGTCATGTGGATTCAATCTTACGACTGTTAGTCTTCTGACCTTGCAGCACAGAGGCTTCTGCGGTTTAACCCACAG